GTTCATGAAAATTAATAAAATATAATTATCGAAAAAAGACCAAAAAAATTTCTACCATCTTTTAAGATTTTCCTAAGCAATTTAATTTATTTTTAAGTTTTATGTTACATAAGTTGTATAAAACTCATTAAAACTAGTGGTATCAATCCAAATTTAGAGACCAATACACTCAGGCATAGCACAATTAAGGAACATAACATAATTCTATTAGGAAGTATGAGTAAGTGAAAATGTAAAAATAAACTCACAAAATTATCAGTAGGAAACATTGTTGTATAAATTAATTAAATATGCAATAAATATACAAGTCATGCTATAGTTCTCAAAACCATATTTCTTACCTCAAAAGCCAATGATAAGGAAGGGATAAAAGGCTTCATGTGACCAAATTCACACATTGTGAGGAAAAATAAGCAGCGGAAAGTTTCCAGCATAGCTCCCTGAGGTCTAGAAAGAAAATGTCATAAACATACATTAGCCTTAAACAGAAGCCTCAGTTTGTGCAAATAGTTAATAATCTAATATTACTAGCATGCTTTGTATGGTGAGAAAATAATTCGAGAAGCTGCACTGTTTTAAGGAGAATAAGGCATGTGGATCAGAGAAAGACTGCAACAGTGGGTTCAAATAGAGCTGTGACAGGACAGGGCAGTATTTCCTTCTGTGATACACAGTGTTAATAGTAATAGGAACTGATTCCATAGCCCCTAACAACAACAATTTTAAAATACAGTTTCTTTTTGGAAGCAAGAGTGGCATCTACTTCCTAAACCGCATGCCTCTGGAAACTCTGAACTTTGAGAAACAATGATAGTTATAGAAGGGCTTCAGGTTCTTTTGTTTAAAGAATCACTATAAGTTGTATTCAACTCAATTGCAATCAACAACAATATTAACAATGATGTTCTAATGGCCTATTGAGTAAAGAGTTGCGCTGTCAATTTAGATGGCAGGAAGTTCAAATCTACTGACTGCTCCAATGGGAAAAGGCAAGGTTCTCCCATTTTACAGATTCTGAAAACCTGCTGGACTGTAAGCTATGTGTTAATTCTGACTCAATGGCAATGAGTTTGAATTTTGATGGCTGAAATTTGAACTCTTTTTACTGTGAAATGAAACATACATAGGGAAACTACATGTAGTAGAATTATGCAGCACAACAATTCCTCAAAAATAAACAACTATTCAGCTATTGCCCAGTATAAGAACCACCAAGATCTCTCCTATCTCCTGATAGTCTTCTAACTTCCTTGCATTCTGGAGAGAAGCACTAGCTTAACTTTTATAGCTGTTACTTCCGTTCTTTCTTATGCATTCCTTTAGGATGATTTCTTTCAAAATTAGTCTATCATTTTGAATTGTGGTGTTTTATTTGTTTGCTTGGTTTTTGTTTTCTTCATGGGTTTTGTTTGGTTTTGTTTTTGTTATTTTTTAACAAACAAACTCATTATTTATGTATGGAACTTTGGTCACCCAGCGGGAAGAATCTGCTCTGCAATCTTCGAAAAGGAGGCTCCAATTAACCAGTTGCTCCATGGGAGAAGGATGGACAATCTTCACCTGTGCAACTACCTGCCTCTGAGAACCCACTGGAGGGTCAGCTAGGATTGGTTCCATCTCAATGGCACACCAACAATTGTGTGTGTGTGTGTATTTACTGCTTTGTGAATTATTTTTCAGACAACATTATTGGCGTGATACTTCTATAGTTTCACTGCCAAATGGAGTCCTATTATGAGAATAAACCAATATTATTGTGTCCTTTCATATGGTGAATGGTATTTGGATTATTTGCATTTGTTTATTGTGAATAATGCTCCCTGAACATTCTACTATGTATTTTCTGCTGTATATTGAGGGGCATACATGTAGGAATTAACTCTGAATTAGAGTATATACAGATTAAGTTTTAAATATGTATCACACTGTAAACCTTTTATTTCTAAATATTATATATACTCTATTTTCAAGTTAATCAACACTTAGATCAATCTTTTTAATTTTAGTCACTTAAGATATAAGATAGGAGAGGTAATGTGGGAAATATAAGTCAGAGAAACTGAAAATTTTGCACATAGTTTTTCCTACTCTAAGGTTTTATGTTTAAATGTTGAAGTTTTTGAAAAATTAATTCATTTTTGTAATATTACTGTAATATAACTCATTTTTTTCTATTTTCCCCCATTTATCTTATTTAGGACTGAGATTTCAATTTTATTTAATATCATTTACTATTCCAAGGTTACTGCGTTATAGTAATATGCTATCTACTAGATTGCATCTATATTGCTTCCTTGGTTTTTACCTTTTATTTCAGTCCACAATCTCTCCCTGCCTTCACAGAATTATTCTGCTGGTATGCTACTAAATACTTGTCAAGTATATTTTATTTTTAAAATTTTTATGAAGAAAAATACTTTTTTTTTCAAGGCCAGATTAAGACCAGTTATTTGCCTTACAGGTATAAAGGGTCACTTGGTCAGAAATTAAACATATGTTTATTTCTAGTTTTTCTATTCTGATCCTTGTGTTAACAAAATATGTCTAGTTATTGTAGTTTTTTACTATGTTTTGATAGGAAATCAGGAAAGTTCTCACTTGTTAAATTAAATTTTTGCAAGCTATCTATATTTTTTAGTCATTGTGTACCATGGAGTCAGAATCAACCCACCGCTGATCCTCTGGCGGGTTTTCCGAGGCAGTTAATCACAAGAAGGAGACTCTCCGTCTTTCTCCAGCAGAATAGTTCGTGATTTCTAATTCTGTGCCTTGAGGATTGCAGTGCAGCTTCTTGCCAGAAGCTCCCCATCTATGTTTTAGAGTTTAGTAAATTTCAGAAAGAAATAGTTTACAGTTTTTGTTCAAATTGTACTAAATATTCAAATTAGTGATAGTCATAATTTTTACATTATTAAGCATCCCATTTATAAATATGTCAAATAACTATTTATTTAGAACTCAATTCATACACTTCTTCATTTATATTTTTGTTTCTATATCTATAGTTCAAGTACAACCAAGTGTTCTGGGATTCCCATTCTTCTCAGAGTCAACCACAGTTTGTCTTGACCTACACAGTCAAATGTGTTTGCACAGTCAATGAAAAAAAATAGACACTCCTCTGGTATTCCTTGTTTTCAGTGAAGATCCATCTAACATTAGTTATAATATCCCTAGTAGTACAGCCTTTTCTAAACTCAACCTGCCTATTTGCCAGGTCTCTGCTAACGTGCTGTTCCAGTCATTTTTGGATAATCTTCAGCAGAATCTTGCTTGCATATGATATCAATAATATTGTTCGATAATTTCCGTACTCTGCCGGGTCTTCTTTCTTTGGATTGGGAACAAATATCTATCTCTTCCAGTCAGTTGGCCAAGCGATTGTCCTCCAGAATTCTTGGAACAACTTGTTAGGTACATCCAGCGCAGCATCTGTTTGTTGAAACATGTCAATTGGTATGCTATACATTCCTGGGGACTTGTTTTTTGCCAATTCTTTCAGAGCAGCTTGAACTTCTCCCTTCATTATCACAGGCTCTTCTTCATGAATTCTTCTGTGTCTACTAATTCCTTTTTGTACAATGACTTTGTATACTCTTTCCATCTTTTTTTAATGCTTCATAGATCATTTAATATTTTGCCCAAAATATCCTTAATTACTGCAACTCAAGGCTTGAATTTGTTCTTCAGCTCCTTCAGCTTAAGAAACACTGAGCAAGTTAGGCTTCTTTGATTTTAAGATACCACATCTTTGCACATTTCATTGTAATACTTTTCTTTGTATTCCCTCACTGCCTTTTGAAATCATCTGTTTAATTCCTTAATATCTTGATTTCCCCCCCCCTCTACTTTCATCAGAATAGAGCAAGAAAACACTGCAAGGTTCAAATTTGGAAGGGTGTACATCAGGGATGTGTCTTATTTCCGTATCTTTTCAATCAATATGCAGAACAGATTATCTGGGAGGCTAGACTCTATGAAGACAAATACTATGGCATCAGGATTGAAGGTAGACTTATCAACAATCTGTGTTATACAAATGACACAACTCTGCTTGATGAAACTGAGGAGGACCTGAAGTGCTTGCTGTAAAAGATCAAGGACTGCAGCCTTCAATATGGATTGAAGCTCAAGATCAAGAAAACAAATCTTTTCACCACTTGGCCTATTGGAAGCACCATGATAGATGGTGAAGAGATTGAGATTGTAAACAACTTCAGCTTGCTTGTCTCTACAATCAACCCTCTTGGTACCAGCACTCAGGAAATTAAAAGATTAATTGCATTGGGAAAGTCTGCTACCAGAGACCTCTCTTCAAAGTACTGATGAGCAACAATATCAGTCTGGAGACTGATACAGGCCATATTCTTATCAATTACTTGATATGCACCAGAAAGCTGACAATGACTGGGGATGATAGAAGGAGAATGGTGCTGGAGAAGAGTATTGAATATATCATGTACTGCTAGGAGAACAAACAGGTTTATCCTAGATAGAATGAGACCAGGCTGCTTCTTCATGGCAGGGATTCTGAAAGTTTGTCTGACATACTTTGGATATGTTGCAAGGCAGGATCAGTTCTTGGAGGGGGATGTCATGCTTAGGAAGGTGGAGGGACAGCACAAGAGAGGAAGACTCTCAATAAGATGGATTGATCCAGTGACTGAGGTAATGGGGGTAGGTATGTCAGAGTCAATAAGATTGGCACAGGACAGAGCAGGGGTTAGGGTTGGATACATAGGGTCACTATGAGTCACAGGTGACTCAAGAGCACATAACAACAACAAAAATCATCTATAGTTCATTACATATTCTGTTTTTACTGTAGGGAATTGAGCAGCTTGTCAGTGCAATTCTTTTTTACTTAATGGCCTAGTTGTAAGAAGCTGCACTCCGGTTCCAAAGGCTTGTGGAAGGCTTGAATGCGAAGGTCAGCTAAAAATGGCTTCCTGTTTGCCTGCAAACACAGCAAGAAGCCACTAGCCTGTTAATATATGAATTTCAGGTTATTTCACTTTTTAAACTTCAGGTACCTTAATCTGTAAAACAAGATTTCTAATGATAATCTTAGAGGATTTCTGTGAGAGTTAAGATCCATGGAACATAATAAGCCCATTTTTGTTGTTGTTTGCCATTGAGGCGAGCATGACTCAGTGAGACCCTATGAACAAAAGGCCTGAAGCCTTTCTATAACTGTCATTGTTTATCAAAGTTCATAGAATTTTCAAAGGCATGTTGTTTAGGAAGTGAATGCCACTCCTGCTTCCAAATAATATTAATTAACGAATTAAATAAAGAATATTTCCTTTATATACATTAATTTTAATGTACTCTAACTTAGATAGTTCTGAGTTAGAAATTTGGGAATGACAAATTTAATCAAGTATTTATCTGAAATGACATCGGATAGAGAACTGAAATGCGAAAGAAAGAAAAGTCTACTATATATATTTAAGATATATAACGAATGAGAGGCCAACATGGAGGCACACACTAGGTTTAACAGATTCAACAACACTGAGAAATGATGATAAACATTGACCCCAAGCAGCAGCATCAAAGTAAAAAGACGTAAGACAAGTATTTCAGTCTGAGTTTGGTTGTTGTCAAACACTTCGTACATCTGTAGCTGTATATTTCTGGCTTGTATGACCATTCTATAAGCATGGAAAGAGCAAGGTCAAGGGACCACTAATAAATTTACAGATCCAAATATGGCTTCCCAACCATTCTTCTTCATCAATGTGGTCTGAGCCAAATAAAATCCTAAATTCTTTATATAAAGGTACAAGAGACAGTCAAAGTGCTTTAGTGCCTCCATGCTTTATAGTGTCATAGTAAAATTAAAAATAAGATATAATTAGTAAAAATGTTTACAAAATCCAAGACAATAGGACAGAAGGAGAGTTAATGCCTTTGAGCTATGGTGCTGGAGAAGAGTACTGAATGTACCATAGACATTCAATAACAAACAGATTCATCTTGGAGAGGATTAAACCAAGCTACTCCTTGGAGGCAAGGATTCTGGGGCTTCGTCTGACATACTTTGAACATGTAGCCAGGAGGGACGAGTCCTTGGAGAGGGATGTCATGCTTGGAAGGGTGGAGGGACAGCGCAGGAGGGGAAGACCCTCTATGAGATGGATTGATTTGGTGACTGGGGTAATAGGGATGGGTGTGTCAGAGGCAGTGCGGTTGGCGCAGGATAGAGCAGGGTTTAGGGCTGTTGTGCATAGGGCCTCTATGAGTCACAAACGACTCGATGGCACATAACAACAACAACAAGCAAACCTACTGCTGTCAAGTAGATTCTTACTAATAGCAATATCTGATGCTACAAGACAAAAACTTGTCCCTGTGATTTACAAGTCTGTAAATCTTTACTGAGGTAAACTGCTATATTTTCTAATGTAACTGGTAGGTTTGAACTGACTGATTTTTGGTTACCACCAAGAGTTTAACCACTGTGAGTCAATCTTTTTCTATATACTTACTGTCATAAAGGCAAGGCAAGATTATTGAAATTAATGTCCTTTCTGCCAAGGATAGATTTTGAAATAAAGTTTATTAAATAACATACATGCTTTTGAGGTGAAAGAAGAAACTTTAAATATATACATTTTGCCATATATTATAAACTAATTAATGCTTCTGATTATATAGTGGCTAAAATGAATAGAAGAAATCATGAAACATAATAGCTGACAGAAGAGCTCAAAGGATTACCTGGGGAGATAAAATATTTTCATGAAATGTGAGGAAACAAATGGATCATGATGCCATTTTTAAAAATAGAACTTCATTTAAAAGTTTAGGTTCTACATCCTTGGATTAAAATCGCATATAAGCTGTCCCAGTTTCATTTAAAATATATTAAAACTGCATTTTACTATTTTAATAACAAACATTTGTTGATCTTAAAATATAATTTATTTAATAATATACATTATAAAGTTACTTAACTGAATTGATAATTAACCTTCATATGAAAAAAAATAAGTAAAAAAAAACCCCAAAAGTATTTCTTGTCTTGCCTTTGATCCAAAAGAAATCCAATGGAGGTCAATGTCAGGATAATGAAGCAAATCCTCAGAAGGAGAGTGATCTGGGAAGCTGTCTGTTAAACAAGCACAGAGACCAGAGAACCCATTAGGAATGAGGAAAATAGCCCCAATTATATTTACACTGCAGTATATAACACTGAATATACCAGAGTATATTTAGTTTCTTAAATCATCTAATTACATTTTTTATTCTTGGCAAATGAATTAGACTATTCCATAATGATAATTCATATTAAGTTTCCTTTCAACAATATTTTAAAGTTTTAAATTTTACAGTTCTTTGAATCATGTGTGTCTCCATGCAGAGGGGTTAGAAAAACTTTTGTAAGTAAATATCACATTCTAAAATCAGTTTTTAATTTTATCAATTCTTTATTGTTTTAGACCTAAACATTTCTTTAATACTGATGACAGTAAAAAAAAAATCAAAGAAGAATGTTTTTGTGAGTATAAATAGATATGTTGTTGTTATGACCCTTTGAGGCAGAACTAAACCATATCTAACCCTGCAGAGGGTTTTAGATGCAGTTAATTGCACTAGAGAAGATGGTCCATCTTTCTCTTACATAGCAGCTGGTGGATTTGAACAGAGTGCCTTTAAGATGGTAGCACAATACCTTTTCAGTAGGCCACCATAGATTCCTAGAAGGATATAGGCATATAAAAATATTTTATACATATATATATATATATATTTAATAAAATTTATATCTTTAAATGGAGTGCTGGATGTCTGTAGCAAGTTGTGCTGATAACAGAAGTATTCAGTAGTTCAAATCCACCATCAGTTTTGAGGGAGAAAGATGGACAAATGATTCAAATACAGATATACTGGTAGATTTGAACTTTTAAAAGGTTTAGTTTTGGGGTTAGTACTGCAATTCCCTATAGACTAGGCCTAAGGAATGAGGGCTCACCATATTTCAATATATTATTATTGTTGTTGTTGTACACTGTCAAATTTGAACCAACCCATAGCTGACCCTCCACCAGATTTTCCAACACTGTAAATCATTCAGAGGTAGGGGATTGCTGTCTTTCTTACACAGAGTAGTTGGTGGATTTGAACCACAAATCTTTGTGTTGGTAGCACAAGGTGTTACCAATTGACATGTTTCAATTAACAGATGCAGACCTGGATGTGCTTACCAGTCTGTGCTAAGAAATTTGGCAGATAGTTACCTAGCTAATTGACCGGACAAGATCAATACTTGTTCCCATTCTCCAGAAGAGTGATACAACACAATGTGGAAATTATCAAACAATATGATTAATACCATATGCAAACAAACTAGTACTAAAGATCATCCCAAAACAGCTGAAACAGAACATAGACAGAATTGACAGAATTTCAAGCTGAATTTAGAAGAGGTTGTGCCACTAGGGATAACAATGCTGATGCCAGATAACAGAGAATAATAGAATTCCTTTGGGGTTATTTTGTTTGTTGTTTATTTTTGTTCATTTTTTGTGGTTTTTTTTGTTTATTATTATTATTACTATTATTACTATTTTACTATTATTATTATTATTATTATTATTATTATTGTTATTATTATTATGCAAAGGCATTTGACTGTGTGGAACCTAACAGCTACAGCTAAAATTGGGAAGAATGGGAATCTCACTACACTTAATTACAATTACATGACATCTCATTCATAGGGTCACTATGTGTTGCCTATGACTTGACAGCACTTAACAACAACAACATACCTAGACCAAGAAGTTGCTGTCCGAACAGAGCAAGGGAATATTGAATAGTTTACAATCAAGAAAGTATGTGTCAAGAATTTATCCTCTCTCCATATTTATTCAACCTCTATGTTGAGCAAATTATTAGAGCAACTGGACTTTATGAAGAGGAATGTGGCATCAGAAGTGAAGGAAGACCCAACAACAACCTACATTATGTAGATGACACAATATTACTGCCGAAAGTGAGGAGAACTTGAAGAAATTGCTGCAGAAGGTTAAGTATATCTAATCTTTAATACGGATTACATCTCAAGAAGAAGAAGAAAGAAAGTCTTCACCACTGTGCCAGGAGGCAAGTTCACAACAGGTAGAGAAAAGACTGACATTGTCAATTATTTCATCTTACTTGAATCCACAATCAAAACCCTTAGTACAAGCAGTCAGGAGATTAACTTTGGGAAAATCAGGGACCTCTCCAAAGCCTTAAAGAGCAATGATGTTAGTTTATAGACTAAAATGTGCCTGATTCAAGCTATAGTCTTTCTCTTTCAAAGCACTTACTGTGCATCTGAGTCAATGTATAGAAAAGACAATGAATATGAATAAGAATGACCAAAGAGAAACCAATGCCTTTGAATTCTGGTGCTGGAGAAAAGCAGTGAATATCCTATAGACTGCCAAAAAAACAAACAGGTGTGTCTCAGAGAAGTGTCGCCAGAGTGGTCCTTAGAGACAAGGATAATAAAACTTCATCTCACATACCTTAGGTAAGTTATTAGGAGTGGCTATTTCTTGGAGAGGGACATCATGCTTGGAAAGATAGATGAGATGGGTTGTCACAGCCACTGCAGCAATGGGATCAAGTGTGTCAGAGAAGCTGATGATGGTGCAGCAGAGGGCAGGGTACAGATCTTTGTTCATATGGTCGCTATGAGTAGTAAGCAGCTCAATGGCAAGCAGCAGCAACAACAACAACAATCCACCAGACCTTCCTTATTTCAATATGTATTGTTGTTGTGTGCTGTTGAGTCAGAAACAACCCATCTGACATGGCAGTTTTCAGAGGCAGTAAGTCACATGAGAGGAGATAGCTATTCTTCTTCCGCAGAGCAACTGGTGGCTGAAATTCAAATCCCATACATTTGGGATTGCAGTGCAGCTTCTTACCACCAAGCTACCAGAGTTCTCTATTTCAATATTTTATTGTTTTTATTGTTGTTGTGTACTGTAGAGTTGGAACCAACCCATAGTTAACTGGCAGGTTTTCAGAACCAGTTAACCACACTGTGAAGATTGCGCATTCTTCTCCCTCAGAAATGCTGGTGGTTTTGAACTGAGTACCGAGTTTATTTGGTATTGCACCACAGCTTCTTGCCACCAGGCAAGTAGTGGATAAAATTAGAGTTTTCAAGATAACTCAGAATTCCATTTCATGGTTTTAAGTTACAGCTGATGCTCACTTCAGCTCACTTGTCTTTCTCTCACGTTGTATCAGTTACCACTCAGAATCTTTCAGAAATGAAGTCCCCAAAGGCTACATTTGAATAAAGCAGTCCACAGTGAATATTGACTTGAAGTATTATTGTCACAGGAGCTAAGTTAGACTCATGTGAGCAAATGGCACTTCATGCTATTGGAGCAGAAGTAGAACTAAATACATTGGTTGTTTTAAAAAGGCCTTTAAAAATATTAACATGAAAACATCAGTTATAAAACTGTAATGACTATAGTGTTTTACACTGTCAGCATTTGAAGGACTTTAAAACTGTCAAAATCTGTTTGAAAATTTATATTGGATATTCTCAGATGCCTCATTCACTTGAACTATATCACAAAAATCATCGGTTTTAAAACAGATTCTACTTCTCTTTCTTTCTATTAAGGACTCAATTATATAAGAACTTATTAAAATGTTTGAACTGTTTTGTGTCTGTTATTTAAAAGGATAGCATTGCATTTGACTTTGGAAACATGCTAGTACAGTCCGTATTTTCATTTCAAACATGTATTCATGATATCACCCCATGAAATGGACCCTGGAAGCTGAGGAATTGATTTTCCAAGCATTACTAAACCAAAATCAACATAAAAGTCCATGGGTCATATCACTAAGGTAAACACTATATATTTAAATGATTGCATTGAAAGTTTCAGGAAGAAAAGGAATGTGCTTTTTACATCTTTATGGTAGCCATCATATTATTGTGTTGGGTTTTTTTCCTCCTATAGTTGTTTATCCAGAATTTTTCACACATAAAACAAGTAAGTATTTATCTAGTCTGGTCCATGCATAAACATAAAAGGTTGTGGGACCACAGCAGGGCCCCCAGTTACCAGTCAGTCACAACTTTTCTATGTGATTATTGGCTACAGTGAATCTGGAAAAAAATATTTCTGTTGGATTTTAACATCTTTGTATGCTTTCATACATCCCTGAGCCTAGAAAGGCACTACAGAATCTGCAAATAAGCAACCTTTCTTCCTTGCCACACAGCATGTTTTTAGCAAAGAAAAACATGTGTGGGAAACAAGCAAAATGTACCTTTCAAACTTAATTTGTGTCCAGAATGGAGCTGTCTCCAACTCCAGTTTCAAAATGAAAAAAGTTTGAACACTTGATATTTCTCTTTGTCAACATAGCTGCATGACTTTTTCATAAATTATATATATATAAAGTCAGTAGAAGAATGCTCAGAAAAATCAAACTGTAAGTCACATCTTTTTAATATTTTCTGAGTCTGGGCTACATTTTTATGCAGGAAGTTCTCACAGATGCCTAGACAGTCAAACCTCTCAGTGAACTTAATTATTTGAGTGCTCATTTCTTTTTTATTAGCATGATTTGTTTAGAAATTTTATTTAGTATAACTAAAAACACCATTCAATACTTCAAAAAGTACTCAACACTGGTCATTTTTTTTAATAATTTATATTAATTCTATTTAGTAGACTTAAATTTTCTCTCAGCCTCATTTAAATATCTAAACTCGAGTACTGTTGTGAACTTTCCAGTTATATATTGGGTAAGCAAATTAAGATAATGTTAGTAAACAGTAGGATAACCAAAGATGTGTTAATTAAATAATATGTAGAGAGGTTATCAGAAGATTTTAACAATGAACAAGTAATAAATCTAACCAGTTTAGAATCTAGCATCTCTTGTTGATGCTGTCCGGTCAAATATGACTCATAATGACCTTATAAACGGCAGACTGAAACCCACCCTATCCTGCACCAACCGCACAATCTTGATCATTTCAAGCCCACTGTGTATTGTGTATATAGTCTTGATGTCACTATATAGAGAGATGTGCTTCATGCTGCTATTGTGAAAGGTTGATTTTCTTAATATTCA